CCGCTTTCCCCTGTCAGACTTGGTGAATCTTACAACGACAGTGAATAAAAAAAATTTCTTTTGACACATGAAATGCTGTGCTATAAGTTATGTTGACTTATAATCTGTTAAAATAGTTTTGGAAGATGATGAGCTTCTGTATTATTCTGTTGTTGAGAGAAAGCGTATCTGCAAATGGGCTGATTGTGCTTTATCTTTGAAAAAAAAATGCTGAATGCGAGGTGTTCCTGCCCGAGACAGTGGCTGTTAAATTTGCTGTCTCTGAAATCTGATCTCCCAACTGCCTGCTGCCGTCGGGGGAGCAGGGGGAAGAAACAATTCCTTCAGAAGCCTTTTGAAAAACTGTTCAGTGGAACGGGAGGTAAATTGCCTTCCACATTCTGATTCTGGTACTGCAATTTTGGCAATCTTTTTGGTTGTTTCTGTTATGGGACCTGAATTGGAGCACCCTTAAATCCATGAGACTCCCACTATTGACTTCACTGAATTTGTGTCAGCTGTCTGTCTTTGTAGGTACATATAGAACTCCACAAAGATGGGGTATGTGTTCCGTGCTGGTATCAGCCTAGCACAGACGCAGGCAACAGGAAAAATTTAAACTACCACAGTCATGGGGCAACCACCTTGATCGTAGAGGTGTACATTTATGTGCATAACACATACCTCAGCAGATTTGGCAGTGCCTTTTGAGGATTTATTTGTTTGTTTGTTTGTTTGTTTGTTCAGGCAAAAACGAAAAGAAAAACGCCAGAAGAGAAAACTAGAACGTCAGTCAAAATTGGACTCCAATAACGAAGGGAATGACAGAAAGCGTATGCGAAGGGAAGTTGTTCCTAGTACGCTTCGCCTCATTGTGGACTGCAGCTTTGATGACTTGATGGTGCTAAAGGTAAAAGAAACTTACCCATCACATACAAATGTTGAAAGGTTCTCCAGTGACAGCATTGATGCAATGTCAGAGCACAAAAAACAGAGAGCAGCTTTCAGAGGACAGTTAGTGTATTTAAGATTGTGATGACTGCCAGACCTCCTTGCGTCAGCTGCTGAATTTTTTAGGGTTTGGAATGTACCTTTATATAAGCTTGCCAAAGATTTTGTTCACCTTCATGAAGATGTGGTAAGTTGGTTTGATTCCAAAACCAGGAATATAGAAACAGTTTGTGCCTCGTGTTCACCATGAAGCTAGGTGCAGTTCTGCCTCAACATAGTTTTGCTAGAGAGGCTGCAAATGCTGCATCCCGTTACTTTTCCTTTCAAAGTGGACCTGAGGCTCCCAACCGTGTTAGCAAGTATTTGTGGAAATGAGAATTTTGAGCATTATGAGGATATTGAGCTTTTTCGCGCAGTTGGGACAGGAGGACCCTGTCCAGCCCATCTCTAAAATTTTAGAATGGATGAAGGAACGGGTGAGATGTTAGCAGGATAGGGAAATATGAGAAAGATCAGTGTGCTACCCAACCACTGGTCAAGATGCTTGGTGTGGTGTTTTGAGATCAAAACAGCTTTAACTCTACAAGGAAAGTATGTTAATCTGCAGCCTCCTGTAAAACTGTGGCCTTTGGTTTCTGAGGCAGGCCTCTCCCTTCCCTGGTACCCTGAGCTGTTCTGCCTCTGCCAGGGACTTCACTGCCCAGCAAGACTGCTTGAATTCAAGCTTTCGCAAAGCCCATCTGGCTGCTCGTTGAATGTAATGCAAAGCTTGTATAACACTAATAGAGGCTCGTGCTGCTCACCGCAAAATTCTGGGGAAGCTCCAGTTGGTGTTTTGGAGCTTGGTTCCCTGAGGAGCCCTTCAGCAGTGCCCCGGAAGAGGCCAGAGGACCTCCTTGATAGTTCCGGAGATGCTGGAGGGGCATTTGCTGCTCACCGCAAAATTCTGGGGAAGCTCCAGTTGGTGTTTTGGAGCTTGGTTCCCTGAGGAGCCCTTCAGCAGTGCCCCGGAAGAGGCCAGAGGACCTCCTTGATAGTTCCGGAGATGCTGGCTGGGCATTTTTCATGCTGATTCATCCTTCGTAAAGCGTTTCCTTCCTCGGTCAGGCAGAGCCCCTGTTAGGCCTGATATAAAACCTGGCACTTCTGCAGGTGTTTAGGAAGGGTGAAGTGTTGTAAGTGAAGATGGTTATGACCTTTAGCAACGGGATTAATTAGATGCTTTCTCTAGTGTCTGTAAAAACTTGCATCGCAATACTGCAGTGGTAAAGTGTAATTTACTTGAAATCCTTTGGAAATATCAAAACATTCTCAAAGCTCTACATGAATCAAAGCAATATAATGATGTTTCATTTTAAAATGGGAATCAGTTGTATTTACAAAACACTGCTTTGTGTGAATACTATGTAATAATATGTAATATACCTTACAAAAAACGTAATTGACTAAAAATTAAGTCTGCTGCATTTTAAGTAATACTAGTTAACTGTTGTCCAAATTGTCAGGTCAAAATGCCAGCCCCTAAATTATTTGCATTGTTCTGAGGTTCTTTAGGTTAATTATGCTTATTTAATTTTCTTAAATATAAACTGTATACTCTCAGGGTTTTCCCATGGGTGAAAGACCGAGTATTGTCACAGTGATAAATCTGCTAGATTACTCAGATTAATTTTGAGTAGGTTATTGCATATAATTAAATCTCAGTGATTGTTGTTTGTTCTGTTTGTTTCCTAGAATAATGCAAATCAAGCACATGCATAGAGGTGTCTAAATTCACTTTTGTGGAAGACGCATGTGTTTCCTTGTCAGCAGAACCCCTTCACAGTGGCTGTTTTTTCTCTCAGGGTCTGATGTCCACACTCTCTCAGTGGTCCCTTTGGCCAGTTAAAAGCTTCCTTTTTTCTCTCTTTAACTTCGACTGGCTCATGGTAAAGCATTTTGTGGTGGTCTCTCTGAAGGACTATGTAAAAACAAATTGTGTTGTATACAGGATGTTAAGAAGCTTCACAAGCAAATTCAGAGATGTTATGCAGAAAACCGCAAAGCATTTCATCCCGTGCAGGTACGTTTAAACAAACTGAGCACTGACCACATTGCCATGTGCAAAGCATGTGAGAAGGGCAGCTGTGACCCAAGTGGTGAGAACTATAGTAGAAAAAAAATACTTAAGCTGCCTCTTTTTAAGATGAAACTTACTTCTATTGTAACAGATTAATTTTCAACCCACATGTTATAAAAATCCCTGTATATGTGAAAAAGTATGTGCATGCAGATGAAGAGTGCCAGATACTGGTGTGCGACGAAAATACTGTTGACACTCAGTTTTATCTGACAAATTAAAAAAAAAAAAAGTGACTGTCAGTGTGTATTTGTCTTTTAAATGTGTCACTGACAGTATGAATATGGTCTTAGTACCACTTTCAGCTCAAAAATAATTAAGAGTTTTAGCTAATAGTTAAGGGTAGAAAAAGTCTTGTACAGAGAGGAAACAGAGAGGCATATTAACATTTCAGTGTTTTGTACCTCTTGTTTGTTCTTTTTGAAGTTTTACTTGACCAGCCATGGGGGACAGTTGAAGAGCAACATGAATGAAAATGACAAAGGATGGGTGAACTGGAAGGTGAATAATTGACTATTTCTGTTAAAAAAAGAAATCTTGATTATAGTGGCTAACTAGGTTGTTAGTTGTGAAGGACCTGTGCTTTTTCCACATGAGTTTTTCTCAGACATCAGAGCAATAGCTTATTAGAAATAGTGTGGCTCTTTGTGCTTATAATTAATTTAACTTATATAAGCCAAAGACTGCTTGTCTTGAATCTAGATTTGATTTTTGCTTGAAAAACTCCACACATATCCATTTTCACCTGGTTTTATTGAACAGATTCCATTCCCTGATAGACTAAGCAAGACTACTTGATTTAGGCAGTTCTGACAGTTGTCTCTCTTGACAGCGCTCTTTGTTTCTTGGCGAAAAAGACGACTTTGAAGTCCTGATGTGATTCTCTTGTGTGCACCTGCACTTCCATTATGTTGCCTCTCAACACTGAAGTGTTCTTTAGAGAAGTAGCTTGTCTTATGGTTAAACTCACGTGGTTTTCCTTGCGATTCCCTGTTAAACCAATATTCCAACCACTTCAAATGAAGAGCACTTAGCGTAAATAAAAACAGTTCTACTTTCAGGATGTCTTGGGCGATAGCTGCTTTGCAAAAGCAAAGCATAAACCTCTCTTATCAAACAAGTCATGTTAACTAAGCATTTACTTCTCGTTTCGCTTCTTTTAGAAAGGTGGACTTGAAAATTATTTGCATAGCTAGGAGAAATACGGTAACATTTGAAGGGAATCACAAGAACTTAAGGATTTGTAAAGTCCTTCTGGGGTTTCAGAAAATTCCCTGATCATTTTTACAAGTCAGCGTAAGGACTGTGCGTTATTTATGCAGCAGTCAGTCTGTGCTGTGCTACATACTTGAACATGAATGAGGGATGTGGAATGACTGCATACTATTGGATTTATTCTTGCTGGTTCCATCTTGGGTCTGTAAAGCTTGCCCAGCAATTCATCAGCTGAATGTAACTTCTTTTAACTACTTTTTTTTTGAGGATATCCAAATTAGAACAGAGCACTATAGTGAGCTAATAAAGAAAGAAGACCTAGTATATCTTACCTCAGATTCCCCAGATGTTCTCAGTGAGCTTGATGAGAAGAAAGCCTACGTGATTGGAGGACTGGTGGATCACAATCACCACAAGGTAAACTGTGGGTCCGTTTCTTTACAGCTTTTTTTTTTTTTTTGGCACCTTATTTGACATTAATGCTGTTCACGTGTAAACTAATAAAAATAAATAACAAGAAAACTTCTTCAAAAAAGACTAACTTCAAAAAAAATTTGAAGAAATGGGAAAAAAACCTTGCGATGGTAGCAGTGGCTTGTGTTCCAGAGTGCAGACATGCTAAGCTTTTTAGGATTTTATCTTTTCATTTTAAATATAGGAATGGAATTAATAACACTGCTCAGCTTACTGAGGGACGTATTTTCAGACAGAAGGGTTTGGTTTCTGTTCATGCACTTGTGTGTATGTGCACGCGCTCATATGTGCACGTGCCCAAATATAGATGAAGAACAGCACTTGAATCTTGGATGCCCTTTTTTAATAAGTTTGCTTGTCAGGACAGCTTGGCTAAGTAACACACATGCCTCGGGGATCTGGTTCCATACCTGTACATGGGATCGTGCTGTGTGGACCTGGAATGTTATAGAGAATTCAGCTGGGAAATGAAAGCACTGTTACTGCTTTTCTTCGAAGACACTCCTATGTAATTTCTGGTGACATGTTTAATATTTCAATGTGATGCTAAAAAAGGGATGGATCTTAAGCCTTACCAAATGATGCTTCAGCAGTCAATCCACAGTTAAAGGCTAGGAGGGAGCTAAAGCAGATTCTTTATATAGTCATTACAGTATAAAGTGTTTACACAATTTTAAAGGTTGGGGTTTTTTTTGCCCATCTTGGGCACAGGAGTTGCCAGGTTTAAAAAAGCAAATAAAATTTCTTTATCCTTTACTCTTCCTCTCAAAAAATACCCAGTTACTGCAATCTGAGTAACTTTGTACTTAAGCATAAACTCGCCTTTAAAACAACCTGTGGCTGATGACATGTTTTTAGAGCTGCAGCTGCATGAACGAGTTTTATTGACGATCCTTTTGACCGTACATCACAGTGTGACATATATTCAAAGTAATAAGTTTTCCAAAGGTATCCCTTGAAGCAGGTACTGTTTAACTGGGGTAAGTTTATTTTTGTAAATATCTTCTAAAGCAAGATCATGGCAGCACGGGCAAAACTCTTGCTAGAAATTGATACTTGTAGTAATCTGATCTGAAATGGTGATTCTCAGTCCAGTTGTTTTGGTGTCTTTCCCACAGGGAATTACTTACAAAAAAGCCGTAGAGCAGGGAATTGGTCATGCACAGCTCCCACTTGGAAACTTTGTCAAGATGAACAGTCGGAAAGTGTTAGCTGTCAATCATGGTAAGTTTTAAATCACAAAATAGTGACATTATTATAGAATATACCTGTGATATTCACAATTTGAACCCTCAAAATGTGCACTGCAGTGCAGATACCCAGTTCTTATTTTATTATGTTGATATTTCTTGAATCTGGTTGCCTTTGGGATACAGTAACTGCCCTGACCTTTAAATATTTTAGTTAAATAGTTAAATGTAAAGGATGGTGTCTTAGCAACTTAAAAGTGCACTTCCTATTCTATTGACTTGTCCCCATGAGTAATTTTGGCATTCTTACCATCCTGGTCTTGTTTCCAGGCTTCATGTTTAAGTGAGTAAAATGTTGGAAACTATCCCATATATTTTATCCCAGGGGAAGATAAATGCATGTGATGTTTTCACCTCTTCAGATGGCTTTGTTCAGCAGTAACTGCTTAGGTACCTGTAGACTTGCCTCATTTGATATCAGCAGTACTCCATCTGCTGAGCTTTCTTAACTGTATTTTTACCTGTTTTCCTGGTTCTGACTGAATTGAATACAATTGAATACAATTGCTTCACCAAGTTTTGAATCCCACTCCTTTTAAACTTTCAGTTTTATTACTAGGTTATCTTTCAGTGTCATTAAACAGAAATATATGCAAAACGGAGCCTACTCAGACCTTTATGGAAATTTGTGATGTGGTGTCCAAGTCTTTATTTTGCCCCACTTCAGGTTCTTTTATCTTACCTTGTTTTCTTTCAAGTTTATTTTATTATGTAACACATTGTTTGATAATAACTTTATTTTCCTAAAATGCCATTGATTGATGAGGTGTGTATTTGCATGATAGTAAAGATTATTTAAATGTGGAGGAGAATATAATATATCGCCAGAATGAAAAATTATCAAACCCCATGTATTTGTAAGACTTTACATGTTTCTAAAACTTGATCTTTAAATGTTGCTTTATATAGACAAGAATAGGACTTTATGTGTTATTCATCAAAAGTTATGATAGCTGTAGCTTTCTACTGGAGTTTTTCCTGCAATAATCTTATACTGACCTCTAGTGTCAGCATTTCTGGAGGCTGTCTTCTACATGTTTGAGCACTGGGTATAAATTGGATCACTTATATTGAGGCTTTCATTTATCTGCTTTATGGTCTTGTGCATGTTTCTTGTGCCAGACTTTTAGGCACTGATTCTACTGCAGTTTAGTTGCCGAGGTTTCATTTTGTGTGAGCTTGTCTTTCTTTGCCCTTCTAAAGCATTTTCAAATTGCAGCCGAAAGGCTCTTAACACATAGACCCTTTTTAAGGTAAAGATTATACTATAGCAGTATTTTGCTTAAGGATTTGGGCAGGAAAATAAACACAACCCTACCACCACCAAAAGTAGAGGTACCTTTAACAGTTGTAATTAAGGCTCTGGTGTATATTCGAACCCTAATGGCTTACAACCTAAATCCAAAAAGACATCTTTCACAGGAGATGCTTGGCATGAGTAAGGTGGACAGAATCAAGCTGCCTCTCAAATCTCTTTTGTGTAGATGAGAAGGATATTTGCACTGAAGTTTTTGTATTTTGCTGAGAATACATCCACCTCACTGCTTTGTGTAACTACAGTTACTACAGTAACTACAGTTACTCACCCTTTCTGTTTTCATTTGGTTGTTCTGGCCTTTGGGTTCCCGCCCTCGGTGCAGAAGCTGAAGCTAGCAGAGTACAGTATGGGGCTCGCCAGATGAGACCGTGGGACCTGCCTGGTCCCTGTGGAACTACTTGTGATAGGTGTGAATTTGGAAAGTCCTGTTGAAGAAGAAACTCTTTCTGAACTGTGTTGTCAGTCTTTGAAGCACTTTAATTAAATGGGCCCTCTGGTGGTGGGAGATGGAGGGCGTTGTAAAGAGTGGAATTTGCTTGTTGCTTTTTACTTTATTTATTTATTTATTTATAATCCTTCTCTCTTGGGATTGAGTCTCCATATATTCCCACAGGCAGTTCAGTGCCTGCATTGCCATGTTAAAGTGGCATGAGGAACACACATATGTGCAAAATATTTGATGCTAGAAAACTGACAAGGTGTAAGATGGGGCTTTTTTTTTTTTAACTCGATCTAGAATTTTAAAACTTGGAAGATGTGCGATCTGTGTAAAACACTGTATTGCAAAACAGAACTGCAAGTGTAGCTGAGAGAGTTTGTTGCCTTCTGTTCAGGTTTGTATCCCAAGGCTAATATTTTGTAATATATATTACAGGGACCATATTGCTCCATTCCAGTCTACTATGATGTCTACCAACTGTTCCCACTGCCTTTTTCTGTCCTTGCATAATGTTTTTGTTGCTATTGCAGCCCATCATAGAAGCCTCTGTTCTCCTGTGGAAGCCGCTCTTTTTCCATTGTTTTACTATGCAGATAAAGGAAGTTCCAAAACAAAGGAGAAGAAACACGCTCCTTATCCTCTTCTTGTCTCTTAGCCAGCATTTTTGCCACAGATGCTTTCTGCAGTAACTTACAGTGATATTAATATAGTCCTTTGAGAGCTCATACCTTCACAGTACGTTTCAGGTGAATAACCTGCTTAGTAAAATGGCCAGCTCTTCAATATCAGTGTCACAGAGAGCAGCTGGCTGTCCAGTAAACCTGGATCCAGGAAACCTCTAGTAAACGTGACACTTTTCTGTAACTTGACTCTCAGTGAGTATGAGATCCGTGCTGCTCCTCCTTTTCTGAACGCCTGCCTAACTCTCTGTAAGGTTTTTTTTCCCTCCACAGCTCCTTTGATCCTTTCTCATATGCTGTTGCTTGGCATCGAGAACGCTTGTGCTGGGTGCATTCTTTGAAGTCAGCATTCTCCAGTGGTGTTAGCACTATTCCTGTAGCCCCAAGCTTGAGGAGCCACTCCTCTGACCCAGATTTGTCATCCAAGTCTGGCTTACTCAGCAGCCATAGGGCCTCCTCCTGCCTTCCCTGCTGCTGCCGAGCCCCAATCTGTGTTGAGAGGTTTTTTGGATAGCCTGGGATTTTTCTAAATAAGAGTTTGCCTATGAATTCTGCATATAAGGCAATTTGGAGCTATTGTCAATCAGGGAAAGTTTGGGGAGCTGAAGCAGGAGGAGTAGGGTGACTGTATGGTTAGCATAATAGAAACAGCAAGAAAGAATCACCGAATTGGAGACTAATAAGGATTTCTGCCATAAGCTCAGATGGAAATAAAAGAGAAAGCCAATTATAGCAGGTTTTAGGAAGACTTTGGACTGTCCATATGTTAGGGAGAGGGGACAAAGTCACTGTTAACGTGCATCCGCAGCAGTATTCCTGTCAAACATGGGAAAGCATTAGTGCCTGTATGGAAGGCAAGGGGGAGACCTGAAGTACTGGGGCAACATTTCTCTCTGTCCCTGAGAAAAATTATTTCAAACTGGAGCCGCTGCATAAAAGCACTGCTGTAGTAACTGTCTTACAACCGGAGACTCAGAGTGTGCTTGGCTTCAGACTGCAGCAGTAGCAGAATTGCCTTATCTGCTTGTGCCTGTACTTCACCACAACCGAATGCATGTAAACCCCTGTAAAGATGGATTTGAGGGGGTGTTCCTATCAGCAGTTCGCTTATCTCCCTGTAAAAGAGCTGATGGTCTTTCTTGACATTGCAGTGTTTGAGATCATCCTTGCATACCTGGAGAAGAGAGACTGGAAGGAGGCCTTTTTCAGTGTCTTGCCACAGCGGAAAGGGGCTGTTCCTTTGGGAGAAGCCAATGATCCGTCCAAACACACTCTGTCTGAAAAAGAAGATGAAGATGATGACTCGGATGGCAACTAGGCTTCAGAATGAGATGATGATGATGGGAAAGATGAGGCATGCAGTTCGTGGGATAAAACTGGGACATGAAGCAGTTACACTGCAAAGACCATCTGCTGCCCTTGTGATACTGAATTGTCTCAATGCTCGGTAGTTCCATAGTTGGCCCAGAGCTGTTTCTGGACATGAAGGGTAAAGATAAATTTCCATATTAATAGCTTTTTAAAAAAAATAAATTAATGGCAAATGCAGAATTTATTTTGTTTCCCAAGGAAGCTATTCAATTTTATTTTTTTTAAATATTATTTTTATACATACCAAGTTGGGTGTATTACCCAAGAGCATTAGTAGTTACTATTTTAATGTATGCATTCTTCTCCATTTCTGCTCTAAGTTTTCTTAAAAGCAGTGAATGACAAGCGTTCCTGTGACCTCAAAACCTGTACCACTAGTGCCTGTTGGAAAGTGTGCAAGAACACTCAAACAAATGAAAATTCTAATTTTCCTGAGCATCCCCGCAGACAATCATAAGCAACTGAACTGCCTTTCTCAGCTGAGCCACACTGATTTATATACCGTGTTTAGTTAGCTGGGGTCAGTAGGTGAAATACAAGTGTGGCGTTAAGCCAGCGCTTTATACTTCAGTTTGAGTGGGATGGATGTCTGCACAAGTGCAAATTGTGTGCCTTGGTCGGTACATGGTGCACACTGAGGTGACACAATCACTTTTGATTACTTCTTGATCCTCTTAGGAAAATTTATCACGCGGTCTCAGGACAATACCAGCAGATAGGAACTCTTTCTTGCAAGTCACTCAGTTTCAGTATACCTGTTTTATCACAGGGTCCTGTATGTATTGTATTGTCTGTCAAATAGTTTTCTGTTAAAAAAAAAAAAAAAAAGGTCTTAATCTCAGTCTTGGCTGGAAGTTCTGATTCACCTTATTTCTAACTGACTTAAGTGCTTTTGCAGAGTACTGAAATGGACACCTTGGAACTGTGGCTTCACCCCTGTGAGCCTGCCCTGTCCCTTTCTTCTGTAGGAACTAGCCAGGTAGCTGCAGCTTCTGACCAAGTGCAGCTTTCACATAGGTCAACTGAAGAGCGTAAGAATACGTCATCGTAACTGTTCATCTTTGCTGAGCTGGAGTCAGAGGCCTGATCCAAGTATGGCTTAGCTTGTATCCATTGGTATTCCTCCCTCTGTTCTTACAGCTTTCAAACGGCGACTAGTCCCTATGGTCTGTGAAGGGTTGGCAGCCAACTGGTTGTGACTTTGTAAACTCAGTGCCCTTCTCTCTATACTTCCTAAATAACCATAGGAAAGTTTCTTCTGTTAAAAGTATGGATTGTGGTCTGTTGCTCAAGTAATGTGGGATTTTTTGTCAGGGTTTTCAAAAATGTGATTGCTTTTGTTCCAGAAACCACATCAGCTTTTTCATAAAAGCATTGCTGTTTTTATTTCTGTAACAAAAAGTGCAGCATAAGTATACCGACCATGTATTGCACTGAATCTCCGATACAAGTGTGTAAAGCAGTAAAATTACAAGGAGTTATGTCTTTACAGCTGAGGTTCCACGTGTTAATGCACATAGCACCTATTAAACCTGATCTAAGACTCTTCAGTCTCTCTAAGGTTTTCTTAAGACTATTGCATACATGTGCCTTACTTACTCAGGCTTGAGAGTGCAAGAGCAGGTCACATAGACAAACCGGGGACTTTGGAGACATTTGGAAAGGGTTCAAAAGTGTCTTACGGCATTGTTTTGCTGACAAAGCATTTTTGTGGTGTGAAGAAAGCGTGTTGCGGCTTAAAACACAGCCTGTCTTACATCTTCACCAGTGGAATTAGATAAACACACACACCTATTCACATGCGTATGTTTTTAAATCAAGGGGTTGCAAATCTGAAGCTTACCTGTCTATGGACAAAGAGAAGAAAAAGATGGTCTGGCATGCTGCTCTTGGAAGGCTCCCGGTGCTAACTCCACAACGTCCCAGCAGCTCGGTGACTAGCTGTTGCCTGTTCATGTGCGTTGCTCGTCTCAATCACCTGGTCTTGCTGCCCTCACTGGTGCCTTAGCCAGTAATTGCCGTTTCTGCCGTTTACCTTTTCTCTGTTTGTGCTAACTTAATCAGGTCATGCTAGGCTTGAAGTCCATGCCTCTTGTTGTGAGCTGTTTCTACAGGATGCTGTCCTCGGGATGCATTAAGTGGTGAGATGGAGCGGTAAGCGGCAGTAGACTGGGGTTTTGATGGGCACAGACCTCTGACTACTGCTGCCGTCCTCAGCCTTTCAGTACCCTACACTTCTGCAGCTGTCTAGAATAAAGGCTGTTCTTGGTGGACCTGGACTCGCACCGATGAGATTTCTAACCCTTTTCTAAATGCTTTAGGTGCTTGGCTGTTCATTGGTGGAATCGCCAGCACCAGACACTGTCATACTAGTGATAAAGTGGTGATTCACTTTCAGGCAGGAGGCTGCAGCTATGCAGAAGTCCTCAGGGAGAAGTGACGGTTCAAGAAGCCCTGAAGGGCCATTCTCGCAGTGCGTTCGAGGTAGAGTTATTGATGAAAACAGTTCCATTGATTGGAGCACATGAAAATCACCCAGCATCAGATCAAGTGTGAGAAACTGAAACCTGTTTGTGAATAGCTTGTAAAAGCAAGAGGGCTTGTGCTATTGGTGACACCTCCAGTCCCTGCCATGATGCGACAACTCCTCGTGACAGGCGAGGAAGGTAGTCCTCCTGTCTTTCCAGCATCTTTTTGCAGTGTGAAAATGGAGGCTGGTAGGATGGCCATTTTCTGACATCC